TCTGATTCTCTATTGAGCACGCTTTAATACTTTAGCTATTATTAGTAGCAAAGAACTTGAATTGCAGCTCACAGCTGATAAGGACTTGCCAGGGTCATGACCTTATCAGTTCAAAGCTACAAATGCACAACATAAGTGCACTTTAAAGGCACACGTTGAAACTGAACAGTGTTCTCATTTTGGAGCCATGATATCCACAATATACTCTGTCAGCATGAAAAATGGATGTAGTCACTGAAATTTGCCTTAGGTTGGAGGAAAAGCCATGATGGCTAATTTTTATAGGATACATATTTGTGATAGTAATGTCATGAGGGCTTCCTTACAAGAACTGGAACTTTAAAACCATGGCATTTTAAGATGAGAGGTACTTTAGAGATCACTTAAGCCCAGCATTTTCATTTTACACAAGAAGACTCTGAAGTCCAGAAAAGATAAATGACTTCATGCATTAGTCCATCTAGTAAATAAAATCTTAAGTGGTTTTGGCATCTAACTACTGTATTAATTCTGGAATGGCAGTTACAATCTTCTCAAGCAGGGTGCAAAGTCTTCAGGGGCTGAAGGGGACAGATTGGTAAGGTAAATGACTGAAGATGACAAGGTAGGGCATAGCAAACACCTTCACAAACAAATGCACTCATACTAATTTCCTTGCAGCAAGCAGCCTTTTATGACTGTCTTTCATTTCCTTACTTTCAAAGGAGGCTCTAGAAAAGAATATTTTTCTATTATATGCAAAATAAAAATATGCATGAGATGAATGGCAACTGACATTCAGTCTCAATGTCAGGGTTATGTTTAGGGCTGGTGTAGACTGTGGAAAACTTGTACAAGGGTCAAACTATTCAGCTCTAGTCGATATCTTCCAGGGAGAATTGCAGAGCCATGAGGTAAGACTTTTCAGGTTTTTAGTAGCAACTGCAAACACAGATTATGATATGTTTTCATTGTTGCCTCAAAATTTTGCTGAAACCCAGTGGGAGTCAAAGACAGGACCTCTGCAGGCAACATTTGGCTAACTAAATTGTGACCTCTGTTTTAAAACAGCAAAATGTTCCTTTCTCGTGTAAATTAAAATCCAAGTAGGTTGAGAGTAACATCATGCTTGTATCCACAAGACCATGGGCTAGACATCAGGTGTGTATGGTGGGGTGTGACAACATATACTTCCTGCATGGGTCACCCCTTGGGAGTTCATTTATTTCTTCTTCCTTTCCATATTAATTTTATTTATTTATTTATTTTTTTAAATTTTTTTTTCCCAACGTTTTTTTATTTATTTTGGGGACAGAGAGAGACAGAGCATGAATGGGGGAGGGGCAGAGAGAGAGGGAGACACAGAATCGGAAACAGGCTCCAAGCTCCGAGCCATCAGCCCAGAGCCCGACGCGGGGCTCGAACTCACGGACCGCGAGATTGTGACCTGGCTGAAGTCGGACGCTTAACCGACTGCGCCACCCAGGCGCCCCGTCCATATTAATTTTATCAGTTAGGAAAATGACTTCATCAAGGTCATCACTATTAGTAAAACTAAGGCTACGTGGAGGATTTGATCCTAGACTTTGTCACTTCTCATTTAGGACATTTTTCATTATGCCATACTGTCTCTTATACCACTTAACATCCTGAAGGAGTGGTGCCATGTACATAAATATGGGTCTGTGAGAATGTTTGGGCTATTTATGTCCTGACACAGAGATCTCAAGCATCCTCAGTTTATAGAAAATGTGTCAATAATAGCTTCATTTAAAGATATGCCCCATGGTGGGGAAGAGGTAAAAGGCACTCCTACACACACCTGTATTTTCCAGTCACCTCTTGTCAAAATGTTGTGGGTTTCCATGAGAACCAGAACTAAAAGTATATGAATGGTATACATTCAAAATGTTAAAACTGTAGGGGCCCCTGGGTGGCTCAGTCGGTTAAACGTCTGACTCTTGACTCCAGCTTAGGTCATGATCTCATGGTCATGAGTTTGAATCCCACATGGAGCTCTGTGCTAACCGTGTGACTCTGGGATTCTATCTCTCCCTCTCTGTTCCTCCCTTGCTTTTGCTCTTTCTGTCTCTCTCTCAAAATAAATAAATACATTTTAAAAAGTGTTAAAACACTGTAGTAGTATTTGGCAGATTTCTTCAAAAGCTCAATTTACAATG